AGATTTACCTTGCATCTGGAAGAAACCTCTGTCTCTGAGGCCCATGAAGTAAAATCTGTAAAACTATAGTAATGGCCAAATTAAAGTATCTCCATCCTACCAAAAGAGTAAGCACAAATCTTTATGGTATCTGTGGGGGAATGAAGAAATTAGTGCCACCATAAAAAATATGGAGGAATAAAGAGTGGAGGTTATGATCTTTAAATGACTTGTTTAGTCTGAGTAGAAGACAAACTAATTTTGCCAAACTATGCATTTAATCAGGTGGTGATTACAAACACAGCCAATATGGTCACTCCACTGATGAAAATCAAAAAATATCTTCACCATTGTTTAGTAATGGTCTAATCGTGACAATCAACTTTTTTAACATCTCAATACACAGAAACCACAGAAAACATTTGTTGCCACCTTGTCAAGAGCGACAATGTACTTTCACCATCTTGTTTCAGCATTCTCTTAAATTTCCTGCTCTACAGCATAATTCAGTCCTCAGGGAACCCTGATCATCTCAATATCCTAAGATGTACCATGCTGGTCGACTACATGAATGGCATCAAACTGAAAATATTTGATGGAATGGGGTTATCATGTACCCCAGACACCTTTGCAAGAACCAAGAAATAAAAACCATCAAAATATAGGGGCATCTTTCTTAATGATATTTCTACACTTGATCTTAGCCAAAAGGCCGAGAAGCAATCTTAGTGATATTTCTGATACTCTGGGACAGGTTGGGACATCCCCTCCAAAATGTTTGCTGCATTTTGCAACTCATATCATGTCAACCAAACCCTCTGAAGATAGAATCCAAGAGCCTAAGATTAATTCAAAACGAAGTTGGTCTATTTTACCTCAGAATTGGAATTCTGTACCTTTGCATATTAAAATATTAGTAGTTTAGGGTTTTGTTTGTTTGTTTGTTTTTGGTTAGAATGAGCTTATTCTTTCTTGGGATAAAATATACATTTGTATATATTTAAAAACCTTTAAATTTCAGCATTTGATAGAGTATGCCTAGGGCAGAATTATTTTAAAATAAAAACTTTAAGAATATGTTTATAGAAAAATATGGTAATGCACACTGTTTTGTGAGTGGATAACGAAACTTAAAAAATATTCGCTTTTAATAGAATTTTAATTTTCATACTATGTGTTGATCTCTCTATCTATCCATTCATCCATCTATCCACCTAACTATCCAATAGATATTTTAGATAAATAAAACAGAAGAACAACAGAAATGTTGTTATGTAAATAATCTAAATACTTTTTTTAAAAGGAAAGATTATCATGTGTAATTCAACTTTTTGAAAGAATGCATTGCATAAAGCACACAAGGTCACTAGGAAGCTGGAGGAACTCACTCAGTATCCCTTTTCTAAGTTTAATAATTTAAAAAATTCATGGTTTGCATTTTCATCATTTTATCCACTTTGCAACCTATTTGTTAAGAGTTTTCTACATAATTAACATATTTCCATTGTATTTTCCTATCATTTTCCCTTCCTCCACAGACAGCATTTATCTTCCTGTAAATTACTTTTTTTCCCTCATTTTTTCCCCTTTCAGATGTTTTTATTTTTCTTGACCATGAAAATCCTCACAATTTTACAATGCTTTCCTGTCAACCTCAGTACTATTTGCTGCATTTTACAAGGACCATAAAGTCCAACTAATTCTAGTATTCTTAAAACTTTTCTTAAAACTTCATATTTGGGGTTTTGTTTTGTTTTGTTTTGTTTTTTAAGTAATCTCTACACCCAACATGGGGCTCAAACTCACAACCCTGAGATCAAGAATCACATACTCCATCAACTGAACCAGCCAGGTGCCCCAAAACTTTATATTTTGACTTTACTATTAAATTACATGTAAAAAAGTACCATTTGAATTTAGACAACTTCTCGCAAGAACAAGGTGCTAGACTTCATAATAATATAATGACTGAGAAAGTGTTTTAAATACTGTATAAACATCCATAAATTTATCATTTAATCACTATCTTCAGCACAAAATCATTATTTACTTTTATAGACCAATCAGCTAGGGTTACCTAATCAATTTCAGTTCCTAGCTTAACGAAAGATTCTCATCTTGAAAAAAATTGCTAGTTTTTCTTCTTGTACTTTAAAATATCATTTTGAATCTGGACAGTTCAGACTGTGCACTAAAACTGCAATAGATGACTGATGTCAAACTTCTGTGACCATCTCAAGTGACCTCAATGAGAAACCAAAAACAAGAAGAACCAGAAAACCAGTTAAGCAGATGCAGGCCAGTAATTTTTTGAATAATACGATATGATAGAAACAGAATATATTAAGACGACATAAGGCTCTTTCACACGCCTACGTGGAAATCAGTAAACCTTAACTTCTGCAACCAAACGAATTGTACCTTGGGACGCACACTATACAATGGAGAACTGCTTGCAAGGATGGATACCCTTTTCCCTTTTTGCATATAATCCTCTGTAAACTGACATGCTTTGGAGGAGTTCTTCAGAGCAATTTAAAGTACTGTCTCCTGGGCTATAGTCCTCATTAAGACACTGAATAAAACATGTATTAATCTATTTTAGGTTGGCTTTTTTTTTTAGTCAACAACACACTGTGTTGATGTCACAGAAAATAAATCCGAAAATGCCAAAATAAATGAATCTATTATGAAAGAAATGCATTTCTCAAAAAACCCTCCTTAAAAAAAGATTGATACTGAAGTTAAAATCTGCTGAAATTTTATATAAAAAACAATACAGCACAAATAATTTGCTTCAATTTAGTGCTTAAAAATATTCAAATATTAAAAAGTAACTACTACAGCCCATTTTCCATAATGTTGGTACTTGGTAAATATGCAGCAATTGTGACATTAAATATAAGACATCTTAAGAGCTACTTGAAGTTAGCAATTTTTGTGAAAATTGAGACTTAGTTTGTCTGGAATGGTCAGATACTAAGAAAAATCTCTTCTTGTTTTGATTTTTTTTTTTATGTTTGCAAAGCTTTTACAGTATGTGTATCCTGAGAACTTGGAAAAAGTAGCAACCAAAATGTCTGCTCCGAATACAAATGTTTATTTTATATGATAACTGTGCCTTGAACAGCTGGATGAAAATTATTCTTTCATGGCATTTAAGGTATTTATACATCAAAAAGCACACTTTGCAGTCTGAACAGACTAGCAAGTCAAAGACAACTGGAGCAAATATTTTTTAAGTATATCACTTTAAAAGTGTACAGTCATTTCCTATACCTAGCTCGTCAGAGAAATATCATTCAAGTAAGCTGAGGTTATGCAAGCTAGAAATTGTTCTCCCTGAGGAATACAACTCAGTGATTGTTCAATATGTTTTCAATATATTAATGGAAGACTCATACACGGAATCAAGTAAAGTTGAAAGATGTTGCATGAGAAGCTTGAAATCACATGTTATAAAACCAGCATTTTTTGATGTGGGAAGGCAGTTCACATTTACTGAACACTTGTGACTAGATACTATGATAGAATATCAACATATACCAGTATCAGCAGCTGCTGAGTCTAGAGTGAAGGAAAACTTAATTTCCAGTATTCCTACCCAGCTCTTAAACACTTCTATTAGTTCTACCTTAGGTTAGGGAGCAAATGGAGAGAAATATAAAGGATTCACTTAGGGAAATGGCATATATGTGTGCAATGTTTTCTCTCATGGAATAAAAAAAGTGGACATCTATTCAACATGGATAAGAATCTCTAGAGTATTTAGAATGATTCTTAGTGAATTGCTCAATTACTTTCATATCATCCAGGCTGCTCTTGAATATTTCCCTTGGTTTAATCAATCAGAAGAAACTATGAACTCAACTGTATGCATTTTCTTATTCTCAAGAGGTAATGATTTGATTTACCTGACACATTCAATATAATTCAAATTATTTTGGCTGAGACGTGGTTACCACAGCATTCTCTTGTCAACCCAGTCATTCTACAATCTACAAACTTACACTAATGCATGTCCAATTCGATTCAGTCAAACACATCCTATTTCATTGTGAATACGCTGACAAGAATGTCCTCACTGAAAAAAATTCCAGCTGAGGTACTAAAAAGTGTGACAAGTTTATGCCCATGGACTGAGAGCTGTGGCCAGGGAATAGAGGGAAGTTACATTTAATGTCTCATCCTACCCACACACCTGTTGTTGACAAAAACAAGTCATAAATTGCCCATGGGCTTTGAATGATTTTTGTCACATAATAAGTTGAATTATTAATTTAATCATAGACTATCTTTGTTTTTCATTTTACCAGAAAAGAAGTCCTCTATGTTGATGTACTTGAAATTGCGTATCTGAGTGGAAACTAGGGGGGGAATCAGTGCTCAAGCAGAACTGTATTCCCTGCTCCTTAATAATTACTCCCTAGTAATTCCAAGATCTTCATATGGAACATAAATGTGTTTTCATGTATAGTTCAGCTATTCTAACTTTGATAAATGGATTATCAAAGAAAAATTTGTTTTGTACATTTTTATAATAATAATAGAAATAATGAGAAAAGCCTATTTCAATGTGCAAAGAAAATTCAGCTGTGATGCCAAACAAACAAATAAACAAGCAAATAGAACCTGCCTGATTATCTGCTAAATTAATGAAATAAACAAAAAAATGATGTAAACAAAACAACAAAATATGTAGATTTGAGCTATCATAATTGCATGTGTGAAATTTGAGGTAAAAATTTTTGCTACAAATGAATTTGAGCCAGAAACGTCTTTTTAATAAAAAAATTCAATTGAAACATATTTTTATTTCCTTGTCCATGTATGAGTCTGCTAAGAAAGCCTTAGCTTTTATTTGTTTAAAACTAAATAAAGCATTTTGAGATAAGGTCTACTTTAAGTCCTAACCTTGTGATTTATGGGAAGATCTCACGCAGTTCAGCCCTCACTTAGCTATGGAGATAATTGACAGAGCTCGGCCTAAGGTACATGATTTGGCTGGACATCACACTTACCTGCTTGATTTGTGGTTACATTTACAGACACATACTGTCGGGCTCCTGGGCTCAAGTCGGACACTCCATTCACTGCCTCAATCTCAAAGGTATAGTTTGTGTGAGCGAGCAGATCCACCATCATGACAGAGGTGTTTTTCAGGCCGATTTGCCGGGGGAGGTACCTGACATGACCGCCACACTCCTCACACACACCTGCATGGGAGTTGCACTTCTTGCATGCAATATAATATGATACATCTTTCCTTCCACCAGTGTCAGCAGGAGGAATCCATTCCAGAAAGACACTAGTTTCATTAACATTTGAGATGGCATTCCGAGGAGCTGAGGGGGGTCCTGGTTTGCAAAGTAAAGTGAGAAAAACATATTTTAAGATGATAAAATTAGGCATTGTTTACTATACAAATCCCTGGTCTGAAGAAAAAAAAATAGATTTGTAATCAATCTTTTAAATAGGGCGAATGCAAGAATCATCAATTTGTAATAATCTTTGGAAAATCTTGTTATAGTTTTGTTGGGACAATAGCGGGATTTATACCCTATAGAAATAACTTATCTTGGCATTGTTATAACCACTTGTTTAGTTAAAACATACGTTTTGCTTAGTGTACATGTAAAGAATTATGGAGTACAACTATGTATGTAAAAATGTTAGATAAAAAAATTATATATTCAAAAAGTGGTAAGTCCTTTGACAAGTCCAAGGAAAAATTCTCCTTGGGGATTGAACTGATTACTTCCTTATTGAGATCTGTCCCAGAAACCTAGGAAGTACACATGAAGGATTTACTAAGCAATGAGCACAAGTGAAAATAGGATTTGTCAGTGTGGCTCTTGACTACAAATTCTGCAGCAAGTAAAATAGCCTGAGCTTACCTCAAAATGAATTGCATATCCACAGATAAATCACCAACAGCATTTGAAATCTTCCTCATATGTCAAGAAGAAACTAGAATTTAAGTAGTTGGACATTGCAATGTGTAATGAAACTCACTTACTTTGATACTGTTTTAATACTGTGGCTCTGCAAGTTGTGAATTTTACTTAATTGGAAATCAGAAATTTATTTTAAAAATAACTCTCAAAAACACTATAAGAGTAAGAATTAAGGTGTTCAGATCTTAAAGGATCAGCAGAACAAATTTATATATAAATAATAAACAATATCCATTTGTATATTACTTTATTTCTGAAACGAATAATTAGCTTACTAAAGAGAACTAAAATTAATTCCGTATCAGTTGTGACAATTGTATACCACTCTGGCGGGGACTGATAAAGGGGGAGGCTTTATGTATGTAGGCATGGGGTATATGGGAAGTCTCTGTGTCTTTAAATTTTGCTGTGAACCTAAAACTGCTCTAAAAAAAATAAAGTCTTTTAAAAAAGGAATCGCATAATGTCTGTCTCTATAGTTGATTTTCAGGTATTTAGAGTTATAACTTCAATCAGTTGTTAATGTTATATGGTCACATGTTCCCCCCCCAAAAAATACATTTATATTTGTTTCAGACTTAATACGTAAAACTTCCTGACAGGGAATAGAATGGACTATGGTGGTCGTTGAATGGTTTATAAGCATAAATTAAGCTACTTGGAAGGACATATCTTAGTTCTCTTAATATCTGTTGTTTTAAATATAGAGATTAATATTAATTTCTACCTAACATTTATTGAGCCATGGCTGTTGAAATTTAAAAGTGATAAAAAATCCACCTGGTATTTACAAATTGCCATTTAAATTTAAGGACCTCATAACCTAAGAGTTACCATTTTTGGCAAAATAATCCCCAGCTCAACTATATTTCTGATTGAACCCTGTGAATCTTCCATACATACAACCTCACACACTTCAATATAAAGCAGTTACTTAAGATGGAAATACACAAGTATTATTTTTTTACTATAAACTTTAGCTTATTTAATAGTGGAAAGTTATGGAGAAAATGTCATTTGAGATCAAAATGTTACAGGTTTACTTCTGAGAAAAAGGTAAAATATACTTGAAATATGTCTAGTTCAGGAAGACATCAAACTTTTTTCTTCCTGACATCTGAAATATAACCAAATTAACATCTTTTCTCTAAATCTGTAAAAATGAAAAAAAAAATCAGAGTCTGACTCTTCCTTTTCTTCTGACTCTCTACTAACAGCCCCTCAAACATTTGAGGGGGAAGTATATGTCTTTAAATGTCAAAATAAAACTCAAATTCAATTGAAGTCCTAAAGTAGAAGTAAAAAGTAGAGGCTCAGATTGACATGCACTTAAAAAATAACCTAATGAAATTCCACTGCCTTGCTGAGATGTGAAATATGAACCAAAACAGAGCTAAGAGAAGCACCCCTCATTGAAGCAGATTCACCAGAATCTTTTTTTCTTTTCCTGTGAGTTTATAACATTCTATTTTCCAGATTTATATATTTATAATATATACATTATATATTATATAAACATATGTTATATATTTATATATTTATACATATATACATCAAAATTATTAAAAGCAGTTGGAACCATAAATTTAATTCCAAAGAGCCAACGGAAAGCAAAATTCCAGACTTTCATGTGAACATGTGAACATCAATCAAGCCATCCATGCAAGGGGATCATATGCAGTATTTGTGCTGCTACGAATGCAACTAAAAACGGAACACACACACCCGCAGATTATATATTAGAAAGATTTTCTACACAAGTCCCAGTAGTGTTTTCGACAAATGCATACAAATTCTTTTGAAACACAGTGTTAGAAATTCGCACACCTGGAAACAGAAAATTTGAAACCCCAAGTCCTATAAGAGGACTAAGCAGTCCCTGCCACCAGAGCACAGTCTTTCCCTCACCCCAAACCTAATGAACTTACAGAAAGGGAGACTCACTTTTACGCTGAAAAAGAGAAAGATCATGGCTGGACCACTTAAAGAAAATAACTATTAAAAAATAAATGAAATTTAAAAGATAATTCAAGATATGGTTTTCTCTCCCTAATTTACCACTTTATTGTCTGGCCACATTTCCTTTTTACTCTCTGGGCATTCTTTTGCTCTGATAATTAAAATAATCTCAACTGTAACCAAAACATATCACATGCAATCATAGTTTATGTCTCCTCTACTCAAATGCATCCTCCCAAAAGTGTATATAATAATGTCATTTTACTTATTTGAAAAAGAAGTGTTTATAATTAGTAATCATCTAACCCATAAAATGATCAGTCTTGTGATAAAAGAATGATCTTTAGCAATGTACAGCTAATTAATATCAATGATTTGAGAAATTATGAAAATATGTCTCACTGACACTATGAAATTCAGATGCTGAAATTCAGATAAAACTTCAGTTTGTTGTCATTTGATTAAAGGAATTGTATGTCTGTTTATATTTCATACTAGAATGAATACTAGATTTCAAAAATTTTGGTCATCATCTTTTAGAGCAACTGCAGCTGCTAGGATCAAAAATAATAAAACAAGGCAAGGTCATGGATACTGAATCTTATGAGGAGAGGAGATACACTTTCTTCCCTTCCATTTTGAGTTTTTGTTTGATTTGCCATAGAGACTGTGAATGTGGACAACTTACGAAAGTATTTTTATCAAGCAAACAAATACATAAATGCATTTCCTTCTCAGAAATATGTGGAACACTAGAAAAACAAAAACACCCAAAAACATTGATGGATGCGGATGCTTCCACTGCAAATGTTGGAATTAAATGTTTACTCTTCATCATTCTAATTATATGATTATGGGATCATATAATTAATAATAGTTAAGGACACTCACTTATAAGAAATATGACAACTGCTTAGAAGTCTTAGCTAAAGGCTTAGTTTTCTATTTGACTCGTAAATCTGATTTGCCAACCCCCAGTACTCCATGCTCTTGAAGTGTTTCCTGTCTTCTTTCATAAATGACCTTCTAACTGGCCTTTGTCGTTTTGTGGGGCAAATTAAGTAAAAAAAAAAAAAAAAGCAAAAGTACTGTTTATTACATGTTTATGTGATCAAAAGCCTGGCTCGGGAGAAGACGAAGAATGAAAAAAAAGTTTACGGTGAAAAGGAAAATGGGTTTATCAGAGTCATGTTTAGCTGTCATGAACACTAAAAGAAATTACAAAATAAAAGAAAAAATTCCTTATCTGTCTCCGATGTTGAATTTGAAATTAGGGAAAATGAGTGCTTCTAACAATGAGTAATAAAAGAGACTCCAACTTTTCAATGCTTACTTAAGAAAATCAAGATCTGGTTTAAAAAACTATTTTGGAAGATCAAACATTATGCCTGTTTTAGGGGAAATGGTAATAGGATGTAACAGGCTCTCCATCAGGTTCTTTCTTCAAAGTGGTGAAAGTTAGCATCACCAAATATTGGTTGGGTTCCTTACTTGTGCATGCCATTGTGGGTGGATCAGACTCCCTCCTGAAATAATCCTTTTCACAGACACAAGAGGTTGAAGCTTCCTCATGGGTATAACTGTGAGGTGGACATTTGCTGCAGCTCTGGTTGTGAGGTGAGGCTTTGAAGAACCCAGGTCTGCACACTGTCAAAAGAAATAAGAGACTAAGCTTTTCCCTGGAACAGATGCATTGTTTGCTTTGTGAATAATGTCATTATTTTGACTACTATACACAGATTACATATAACACAATATTGCCATTAATTTCAAAAATGTTTCATAAGCTTCTGAATCATAAATGCCAGGCTATCATTCAGATAATCAAATATTTAAGTATTTAAATTAAACATGTCTGGACTGTGTGTATTTTAGTGATTTTTGTTGTGGGAGCTTATAAGAAATTATATTATAAAAGGTAAATACCTATATGTATTTAAAACTAAAGTAGTGCTTTGAGTGTAATTTTCATTTATGGTGTTATCAACACAACTTTTGTTGAAGAAATAATTTTTCCCTATGCTCATAGAATGGTAGGGTACATAGTAGGTGCTCAAAATTTTGTTATTGAATTAATAAATTAATTGGTAGGTGTTAAAAGCTTCACAAATTTTGTTGGATTTGGAAGAATGCATGGATGAGCTGGTGTATCATTCACATTATATTGATTTCAGGGGGAGTCAGATGTTAGGCATTTATTTTACATTTTATTCCATTTTAGAACTTTTATTTGACTCAACAAGCATCTATTCTAATATCATTCATACTTATACTGTACATATTGTAATGATCCATAAAAGCTAGAAACTGTGTCTTGTTCAATTTTGCATTCATAATATTTATCACAGTGTTTGACCACAGTAGGTGATCATAAATTATCATGTAATGCATAAATGAATGAATGACATGGCATGAAGATTGTAACTGAACTATTCAGAATCACATACAGAATATGTTCTCTGGATATTTTTGTTAACATTTCTGTTAGTGGTCAAGTAAGTGCTAACAAAATAAATCTTTTTATGATGCTCATTCCCTAATCTTTTGTATCTTTCTTTCTTCTCAATGGCTAGTAAAGCCAAACTTTCATTGCAGTTTCCCTCTTTGGGCCAATCAAAGACACCAAACCATTGGTTTGATTACTTTTTAGGGTTTAGATTACATAAAACTAATCAGCCATATATATTTTTTTCTATTTTCAAAACTCAGTACATACACTTAAGAACATTTATTCAAGCATCAATGGAAATTTGCTGAAGTTCAAAGGTGAACTTGTATTTCAACAGAAATTTTTGATAGACAATGAATTTGGGCTAATTTTCATGTGCTATAAATGATTTGGGGTTTTAGTAATCCATGCAAAGGCTTTCTGCCATCACCATGAATAATCAGGAATTGACAAAAATGAGAAGGTACTTTTTCAGTAGATCTAATTATAGTGATAGCAAAGCCTTAATGTTCTTATAAATTCAGAGAGAATGTGAAGGTATTTGAAAGATAAGAAGAGCTTTTTGATAGTATTAGGGACATTCTTGTAGCTAAATGATTAGGAAAAGATTTAAAATATTATTTTTCTTATAATAGGATTGCTGTAGCACCCAATACCATTCTTAGCTAAGTTATACATTTTTTCTTCTTTTATCCTCTTCAGTAAAACCATTCTCACTTTAAACACTATTTACTTTCAAAGACATGAAGTGTCAATCCACAATTCTGCATATTTGGAATTCAACGATCATTTATGAAACAAAAGTCAGCTCTTTTATTTAATGCCTTTTAACCTAAAAACTTATTTTGATATCGTATGTAACACTTATTAACCCTCCATGGAAACTTTGGAAGCAGAAAGTAATATAAATGTAAGTAAAAGTAGATATATGTATCTTTCTGGTCAGGAGTTCAACAAAACGCTTTCAGCAGGTGTAGTGGCCCAGAAATTTTGCTCAGTACTAGATTACAGAGGTAAACAAGATAGACATGGCTCTGCTTTTATGAGTCTTAAAAGTACTGCATGAATAATTATAAATATTTCTACACTAGAAAAAAGAAAGAGCGTGGAAGTGAACACTGACACCTAATTTAGACTGGGATGTCAAAAAATGACCTCCTTAGGAAGCTGAGTCTGCTGATATGTTAAAAAAAATTAAAAAGGAAAATTATCCAATTTACATTAGGGGGGCATTAGAGTGCATTAAACTGCATTAGAGGGGCAAAATCCTTGCAAAGGACCAAAATACGTGAACAAATAAGGAGATAGAGCAAACCAAAGAATTGATAAGGGTGATCGTAAAATTTTAAAGTGGCAGAGATAAAGTTAGACAGGGAAAAGGACACCAGGACACACTTCATAGTTTTTATTATTTGAGGTCATTACAAAATTTTAAGCAGGGAAATACTGAGATGACAATGATGTTTGAGAGATCATTGTGTAGCAGTGTGGGTAATGGGCTGGAGAGGAGCAGGGATGGAGGCAATTGTTCCTTTTGCTTCTGTTGCACTGGTGCAGGAAAAGACTCTTGTTCCAATGGTGATAGATGAGAGTAGGTGAATTCAGGAGATCCGTCTGAGTTAAAATCAACGAGATTTCATGATATATTTAATGGGTTAGATGTGAGAGTGGGAAATCCTAAGACTGACTCTAAGGTGTTTGGCTTTCGCTGCCCAGGAACTACAGGAGCCATTTTCCTCAGAGAATGCTTGATATGAAATGTGTTTGGGGGAAGATAATGATTAAAGTGTTATTTAATTTGAGGTGGCAAAAGAAATCCAAATAGAGATATACAGAGGAAAGCAGTAGACTCAATGTTATCTAAGAAAAAAAATATATATGTATATATACATGTAAAAGTAATTATTCATTGCCTTCAAATCATGGCCCCAAATCCAAATGGGACATACAATGCTGCTAGACAATCTTAGTATTATTCCTTAGTTAACTTTAGTTTTCAGCATCAACATGATTATTTTGTAGCTTCTCCTCTCTCTTCTTACTCCTTAGAAGCTCTGCTCTTTTGTGATTCCTAGCTGGTTACATTTGTCTCTGTGCTGAGAAAATAGAAGTCATTAGAGGAACTTGCTTATTTTCCTACCACCAAATCTCCAAACCTATAACACTTGTAGCCACCCTCTCTACCTTTCTTCCCGTTAAAATGCACAGATGTTTTTGATTCTATCAAAGGAAGTTATCTTTATTTTAATTAGGACCCTCATCTCTATTCTCCGAGGGTAATATTTCAAATATCCTTTCTACATGGTCAGTCTCTCTCAATCTCTTTCTTCAATCTCTGCTCTGTCTGTCTGGCTCTCTTTCTCGCCTAGTCATTCACATGAGCCCAATACAATTTTCCAGAACTTTTCAATGTAAACAAAGTGAAACAAAACAAAACAAATAATAACAACAATAAAATATCAATCTCACTTGATCTCAATTTTCCCTGTAGCTACCCCACAGTTTTGTTCCCCTCCAAAACACAATTTCTAAAATTACTTTTCCATACATGCATCCCAAGTTCCTATTTTAAATTATACATTGGCACAGTCCACTCCCCTGAAACTTTTCTTGTTAAGATTGCAGTCATTTTGTTTCCATACTTCTCAACAGCATTTGATCATGTCCATTTTGGGAAGCTCTAATTAATTTTACTACAAAATGCTAGCATAGCCTGCAAGTTTCCACACAATATCTAACAAATCCTTCAAATGTGATCCCCTCCCACACTCACTATCTCCATCTGTACTAAACTACTTATAATTTCCAGCATTTGAGAAACTCCTTTATCTGCTTCTGAATATTGCAGGAAAAGCATTCCAGCCAAAATACAAGAAGTGTAAGTTATGGGGAAAAAAATTGTAGTCCCTGATAAGGAATTTGGATTTAATCTGAATGCATTTGGAAAACACTGGGTATTTATTTTTTGAGGGCACTCCTTTTGTCAAGCACTGTGGCTAGGAATATTTATATTGTGGTCAGAAAATAAAAATTGTACTTGACACCCTAAAGCTACAACATATTTGGGGAGATAGAAAATAAAGAGTAATAATCAAAAGAAGCAAAATTGACCTTTTTGCATTTTAATCATGGCAATGTTTAACAAATAATTATCTAGATGAGTAGTAAGATTTCTTTAAACTCAAACTTGATATGTTTCATTTAAACATAAAGGAAGCTTTTGGAGTAAAGTTGTTTCAAAATGACAATTGTACATTACCTAAAAATTATTTAGAAAATATCATGCAAGTCCATTTAAGTTGAACAAGGAGTTGGAGACAAAAACTGCATCCTATGTTGACATGTTTCATTAGTCTGATTTGGAGGGAAGGAAACTATTTTTTTTTTGAAGGAAAATGTTTTTAATAATTCCTATTCTGTCCACGCTTCAAAGGTTCTTTTTAAGAGCCTTTTTCATGATGTTTATGATGATCTCCATTGCTACATATTCTTTCCTTACACACCTTTTAGACTACAAACTATTTATTAAACATCTGTCTTGTGACATATAGTAAAAATTTTGTCATAATTTTATGTGTATGAATTCTCACCTGCTTTATATAGAGTTGGGAAACTATATAAACATTGTAGAGAATGGAAGCGGTTCATTTGATTTTCATCATACATTACATAGCATAATTTGTTGTACTGAGTATATATTCATCAGTATTTATTGTGCAAATAGTATAATGTGTCCTTCTCAGAGTGTAAATGATATAGTGGAACTTAATAAAAGCTGATGAAGCTAAATTATTTAAATATTAAGTCTTGGAAAGTAAATAATAATATGTCCTACATCTACGCTGGCTACCTTAGAGGTTTTGCAAAAACTACCAACATTCCAGCTCTCATATTTATCACTTAGAAAACAAGGATGTTAATTAAATCTATTAAAATAATTGTAAAAATCTAAACAGAAAAAGCATATCATCAATATATGAATTTCAATTGTCAAATTTGTGAAAAGATATTGCCTAATCTAATTAGAAAATCTTAAAAAGTTCTCAAAATTACCAAAATTGGTTAACCTCATAATTTAGGGTTTTTCCCATAAATTTTTATAATCAATTAAATTACTTTTAATCTGTCCAAAATATTTTAGCCTTAAAGGTCCATCACCCTTGGGATACCTAAGTGAATTCACTTTACAGTTCAAAAT